CTAATCTTTCTGTCACTTGACTCTTTGGTGAGCGTTAGTTTACTGAAATGAGCTAAGACAATCAACCTCCTGAGGGCAGCTAACCAAGGACAAGTACAGGCCCCTCCAGCTCTCTGTGCTGCTCACGTCCCCCACCCCCACCCCTGCCCCCTTCAAGTTTTGTTTCTTTTCAAGAAGAGAAACATGTAGCCGGGCCGTAATCCCAGCACTCAGGAGGCCGAGGCAGCTGGATCACCAAGAGTTCGCGAACAACCTGGGCTACACAGTGAGTTCCAGAGCAGTCTGAACTACACAGTGAGACCCTGTCTCAGAAAACCAAAAAGAAAAGAAAAGAAAACAGGAGCTCTAATTATCTAGAGGACCGAAGCTTTTAATAAATAAAAATTCTTGGGCTGGGGATTTGGCTCTGCTGCCGGCCTTGCAAGCAAGGGTGGTCCGAGTTCGATCCCCGACACCAAATAAGTAAATAAATGCTCTCATCTTTCTTTTCACACGCCAATGGCAAGTCATGGGCATCCCCAGACATGCGAACCCCACCGCGGGGACCCTGGTTTCAGGTTCAAGCAGAAGTGCATGAAACCCTAACTTTCACTTTGTGGTCACAGCTGAAGCGATTCCCCGAGGACACACGGTGCTGCCATGTCAGGTCCCTGGCAACCCACGGCAAAGGAAACAGGAGATCTGTGTCTGCCTCTTCTTAAGCAATGTCTTCCCGGTAATAAACTGTGGGGGCTGAGTGCGAGCCACCCTGGGGACAGCAGGAAGGCTCCACCTCAGGCCAGGATTAGCTGTTAGAGGAGGCCAAGGCCAAGTTCAGCGAAATGAAGCAAGATGACCAGCAGCCAGGCCGTGGCTGGTATCTCTCCCTCCTCCCTGCATCGCATCACCAGATCGCGGCCACTGTGCCTTCGCCCCGCTGCCCAGGGTCTCCTACTCTGATGGCCCCCAGTGGGCTTCCGTAAACTGGGCTGCAGGCTCCCCCCGCCAAGCTAAAAGCGAGGGGGACCCAGCTGGGGAACTTTCCTAAGAAGAGGCACGGTGGAGCTGGAGAACATGTTGGAAAATGTGGAATTATCCAGCATCTCTCCTTTTCTTGTTTGCACGTTCCCTTTCCTATCCATCCTCAAATTAGGAGTGCAACGCAAAGTGGATCCAGACTGCAAGACACGTACTGAATTCTGAATATACACCTTCATCGGGAGAAAACAGTGACAGGAGGGTAAACGCTGCATCCCCCAGGGCTGTATTTCCTAGGTGGAAGGGGTGGAACGTCACCGCTCAGCTCAGCTGTGGCCACTGCACACAGGTCAAGGTACCAGGCAGGCGACTCACCTCAGAGGCAGCAGGACGCAATAGCGGACTATGACGCCCAGCACCCACACCATGGTGAGCCGAGGACTGATGTAGTGGAAATTGGTGTTGGTTCTAGTGAGGAGATTCCATGACTCCAGCTCCTCTGAGGAGAACCTCTGGGTCACTTCGTCCTCCACAATGGCTTCCAATCCCTTCTTGGAGAAATAAAACACGTCAGAGAGCTCAAAGTCCTTTCCTCGAAGACCAGAGAGCCCTTTTTCCATGGGTGACTCGTCTCTTTGGATAATACCTTAAAAGAAAGCATCAGGACATGAGAAAACGTCATAGGAGGGGGCAGCGCACCAAAAGGGCAACTTTGCGGAGTTTATAGAAAATAAGGATGGGTGACATACAGACTTCAAAAATAAGGAACCAATGACTGCAGCCAGACCAGATGACGTCACTGAGAGAAAATGGCTTCTATCCAATGATAACCATGGAGGAAGCTCGGGTCTCCATAATCTGGATTTCCTCCCCAAACACTATCATCAAATGAAGTCATGGATAATAAAAACTCTCTCCAAATACAGCTCTGAACCGTGTAATGACAAAGATTTTCATGCTTCCCTGGTAAAGGCCATATATACTGGAGGTGGAGCCCAGGATCTTCATTCACACTGAGCTACCTCCCAGCCCTTTATATTTCGTTTTGAGGCAAGTCTCAGTAAATTACTAAATTGCCCAGGCTGGGACTGAACTTGCAATTCTCCTGACTTTCACTTCTCAGAGTGCTGGGATTACTATAAAAATTATTCAATAAGAAAAACACAAGCTGCCGGGCGTGGTGGCACATGCCTGTAATCCCAGCACTCGGGAGGCTGAGGCAGGAGGATCACTGTGAGTTCGAGACCAGCCTGGGCTACACAGTGAGTTCTAGGTCAATCTCAACTACACAGTGAGACCCTGTCTCAAAAAACCACTAAATAAATAAATAAATAAATAAATAAATAAATAAATAAATAAATAAATAAATAAAATAAAAAAGAAAAGAAAAGAAAAACACAAGCTATTGCAGAAAAGTAAGCAAGTTCATGATCTGAACTCACTGAAGTAAATACAAGTGCTAGGCTGGGGATTTAGCTCAGTGGTGCCGCCATCTGCCTCCCAACTGCAAGATCCCAAGTTCTATCCCTGGTACAAAATAAAAAGTAATATGAGTGGTTAATAAATATATCAGAACTTCAGTGCGGTGGCACATGCCTACAATCCCAGCACTTGGGAAGCTGAGGCAGGAAGGGACTAGAGCACGATTTCAAGGCCACAGAGTGAATTCAAAGCCAACTTGAACTAAGTAGCAAGATTCTGTCTCAAAAAGAAAGAACAAAACAAAATAAATATCAGATGTTTTAAACTCATCATCAAAGAAATGTGAATGAGACAAAACTGACGTACTTATGTTATCGAATTATTATAAGCAGCTAAGTTAGGTCGATTAGAGGCAGTCAGATAGGGCTAGATACCCGAGGGAGTCAGTGCAGATGAGAACACACTATAATTGTGTCTGGAGGTGCATCTGTCAGAGGCCAGCCCTCAAAATAAAGGAATGACCAGGCCTCCGTGCTTATCCTGAGGGATAAGGAATAAATTGAAGAGCATACTGAAATTGGTATCACCTGGTCCAATAAAGTCTAGAATGACATCAGTCAGCCAGGTGGTTGATCAGGACCTCCTGATCCATCCCTTCTTTAAAAATGTCTGCTCTTTCCATGTACCCGTGCCATGTGATCGATTCTCTTCACCCACTGGACCAACATTACCTACTTGTAATCTTACTGGTTGACACAGTTAGGACTCATCTTGTACCCACCTCATGATTTTTGCTCTATGAAATTTTCTCTGTGAAGTGGGGTCTGTGGCAACACACTTTTGAGTCCCCTCCTATCTCTCAGGAGCTATCTCTCCCAATAAATTTTTCTTATTCTTTTTTTTTGGGGGGGGTACTGGGGATCAAACTCAGGTCCTTACACTTGCAAGGCAGACAGCAGAATCACTGGGCTAAATCCCTGGCCAAATGTTTATTCTTAACCTCTGCTGTTCCTTAGAATTCATTCTTTGATATCGCGAAGCACACACTCGACCTATCAGGCATCTAGCAAGTTGAGAGTTATATCAGCAATACTTCTGTCTCATGAAAAGTCCAATGACTAAAATGATACAGGTACTCTCATACGCCACTTGTAGGAGCATGGAATAAACCACTAGCAACTGTTTTCAAAACTCATGTGCCATGAAAAGACTAAAAATAGTTTTCTACAATGAGTAGTTCCAATTTTGGGCATCTGTCATAAGAAATGCAGGGAAATGCTCACTATATGATATACAGTGATATAGACACCGTGTACATTAATAATGCTAAGAAATGAAGTGTGTATAAGGGGGGGGAGGGGTGAAGGGAGGGCAGGGACAAGGGGAAAAATGAGAACCAAGACCCATCATGGAAAGGTACAGGATCCCAGTGATGAATGTAACTGCACTGTATACCTAAAATGTACCAATAAACTCAATGAGGAAAATAAATAAAGCTAAGTGAGAGACACAATCTTAAACTGTAGCTTAACTCTGTGAACTATGTATACACGGGAAAAGGTCAGGAAGAAAGCATTAAGTTATCTTTGAGCAATGAGGCTAGGTTTTCTTCTCCACACTGATACTATATTTTCCATAAAGAAAATAAATCAATGGCCGGGCATGGTGGTGCACGCCTGTCATCCCAGCACTCAGGAGGCGGAGGCAGGAGGATCGATGTGAGTTTGAGACCAGCCTGGGCTACACAGTGAGTTCCAGGTCAGTCTGAACTACATAGTGAGACCCTGTCTCAAAAAAAAAAAAAGAAAAAAGAAATCAGTGGAAAGTTGAGAATGAGCTTGTATCATTAATTCCCGTAAGAACTGATGTGTGCATCAACTGGAAGAGTTGGGATATTTCTTTCTCTCTTTTTTCTTTTTGGTTGGGGGGGCGCAGCTTGGAGTTGAAAGTCAAGTTTTATCACTTCTCAGCCTTTAAGCTAAGATCAAGTGAAAGTCAAATTCTGTTTAGGACAACAGTCTGGAAATTAGGTCATAACCCAGCAGCTGAGCAAGTGGGTGTGACCTACCAATCACCGAGATCCAGGACACATGCGCAGAAAAAAAACAGTCCCCAATCCCTGGACCTGGAACCAATCAGAAAGTGCTATCTTCGATTTTTTTTTTTTTTCCTGGTGAGAAATCAAGCCGATTTTTGATAGGACGGCCTCGATCTGACGTCAACCTGAGCAATGGCAGGTACACAAGATGCATCATTAACCTCCTGGTTAATGTGCTCTTTTTCTCAGTGGCCCACGCTCACTCTGCAGAGTATGTATATTTCTTTCCCTACATTTAATAAATGTAAAATCTTTCGATTCTTTGTTCAGGACAAGAGCTTGGGGGAAAAAAATCTCTGGAAAGAGCTTACAGTGAATTCACACCGCACCAGCTAGCACAGATGACAGAGGTAACACAACCACCAGAGCTCCGTAAATGGTGTCTTATAAAAATGGAGTGGGAATTTTTTTTCAGTTTCCACACAGAGTTAATATTTTCCAGTTTCAGGTTTGGGTTTTATTTTGTTTTGGTGTGTGTGTGTGTGTGTGTGTATTGTTTTGTTTTGATTTTTTGTATGTGTGTCCCATATGTAATGCTAATATCTACCCTACGAATTACAGCAATAAAGGAAGTTTCTGAATTATCATTAGGACCTTCTCAAGGTGTTCCAAGCAGGTTTATCTTCCTTCACCTGTAGCCTATTGGTGTTATCAAATCAGTAGGAATCGGTTAGATGATGGACCAAGAGATACCCTCCTCCCACTGCAAGAGCACTTGGGCCGATTACTCAATGCGAGTTCTGTCCCGGCCAAAGCTTGGCAGTGCAAGAGTTTCATTATTTAGCAATATGCAGATTCTTTGGTAATGTCTACAGGAGGAGGGAAAAACAAGTTATTGAGTAATTCTCTGAATGAAATACTCTTGGGACATTGGCTAGACCTTCTAAACATACTGTTTTTCAGAAAGTCAAACATAAGAACACAACTTTAAGTTGCTTCACAGTGTAACAAAGCCTAGAAGAGATGTGCACCCAGACACCAGACCCTAGGCCCGGCGCACTTCATGTGTAATATTTTCTCTGCCTGTCTCTACCTCATTTATTTGGTGTAATTCAAATAAAATGTAACTTAGTTTTTTTTTTGTTTTGTTTTGTTTTTTAGTTTCAGAAGTATGTGGACAACATCTACCTGACAAAGGTTGAATGTGCAGACTATGTTAAGACATAACAAGAATTAGTAGAAAAAAATCAAAGATTTTAAAACACTGGCAAGCAATTCATAAAAGTAAGCCTCGATGACTAGCATTCAAAAAGATGTTCAGGGCCGGGGATTTAGCTCAGTGGTTCTGCCACCTGCTTTGCAAGTGTAAGAACCCGAGTTTGATCCCCGGTAAAAAAAAAAAAAAAGATGCTCAGCTTCACTATAGCCAAAGAAATATAAACAACCACAATGAGATACTGTTTTATACCAACAAGGTTTACCATACTGGGAAACAGTTTAGCATGTAAGGTAAACTGAAGGACATTCAGAGCCAGCGATTCAGCAATTCTGACACTAGCCTGGGTCTGAGAGGATCCTGAAGCTAAGGTGCAGAGTTTAACCTACCCTAAACATAAAAGGCTCAGAGGTTAATCAGTAAGAGACAAGGGAAGGGTTTATTAGGTGAAGATTTGGGGTCCACTCAAGAGTAAACTGCGGGTACCTAGAGAAATGAGACCCACTAGAGTTTGAAACTGGGAATATCTGTGTTTTGGGCAGTAAAAATTTGTGCAATTTGATTATCTAGTCTTGGTCTTGGTTTGGTGGATCCCAAGTGTGGCTTACCCATTGGAAGATAATGGGCTACTGGAACTAGGGATTTTGCTCAGTGGCACTGTGCCTGCCTTGCAAGCACAAGGTCCTGAGTTCCATCCCTGGCGTGTGTGTGTGTGTGTGTGTGTGTGTGTGTGTGTGTACAAAGTTAATGGTCTACTCAAATGAGAAAGGCCATTTTACAGCTGAAAAGGTGGTCTATTCATGAGTGAAAGAGGCTGTCTGCAAGAAAAAAAGGAATCCAGTAGCAGAATCCATTTGCAGGTGAAAGGAAATTTCCCAGGCTTATTTTCCAGGGAAAAGAGGAAAAAAATTTTTGAACTGGGCTTGCGTCCTGAAGCTAGTTTTCATTTTTTAAATTATGATTTCCCTAA